TTACTAATTTTATGCTTTATTATAGTCCATGTATGTTTATATACTTATTCCATGATAATTATATGTTTATCCTTTTGTGTGATGTAAATTAAATGCTGAATGGCGGTTCATGCAGGAAAAGAACATATCAATATTCGCATATTCATTCAAAAACATGAAAATTCTTAATGGAATACCCTCATTTCTTATTGAATTCCTAAAAAACAATATTCATAATGAATTTTAATAAATTTTTCGAATTTTTTTTAAGCTTTATTCGGACCGATTCACCAGATTCCCGATCCGGATCGCCGATTCGCCGATCCAAATCGGTTTTTTGGAAGTCCGATCCGGTCACCGATCCGTTTTTAAACCATTGGGTAAGACCATTAGCATCACTATGAGGACTAGGGATGTAGCTTACTAGCGACCGAACTAAGACAAAACTCCACACAAATTAACCTAGTAACAAATAGCATAGAATGTCACGCCTTATTTTCGGTTAAATAGGGCAAAGAACTACTATAACGAGAAATTAATATGATAATAAGACATTTCAAAATCACTTCTTTTTTAAAAAAAGTTGTATAAAAAATAAAATAAAATAAAAATAAAATATTTTTTTGGGAAAGAAATTCCAATTAAAATCTATATCAAAGAATTTAATAAATAGAATTAAACACAAAAATTTGCGAAAAAAGTAATATGGGTGTTGAATAAGTATATATAATATCAAGATAAATTGAAGTAAATATATAAAGAATATAAAAATAAAGGAAATTTTAAATAAAAATTAATAATATACTAATATTGATTAATTTTAAAAGCATAAGGACAGTAGCTAAGAAAACTTCATGTCGAAGTCCATTTAAAGTCAATATTGTTTATTATCCAACAGTATTTTTTAGAAAAATAAACTACAGTGAGGCAATAATAAGAAAAATAAATTAAAACAGCTTAGAAAAATTTGTATATCATAACTTAAAAATCATTCCTGCAAAAAATAGGGATTCTAATGAAAATAACTACATATATTTCGCCCTGAGAAATATATATCTATCTTAAAATAGAAAAATATTGGAATTTAAAAAAAAAAGACTAGTTATGCAAAAAAAAAAAAACGAGGCATTTTGTAGTCAAAAGTGCAGAGTAAGGAATTCTAAATTCATCATAAAAATGGCATATCCAAATAGATATAGGAAAAAGTTTATATAATCTTTACTTGTATAATTAAAGTTGCAACAATCTACACCTTTTTTTTTAGAAAATATAGGTTTAACACTATCTTAAAAAATATGTCATTTTATGATACTGTCTTCGAAGATATCAAATTCGCATCAACTGGCTAAAATGGACAGTGTACATATCTTTTCTTCTACAAACAAGTTTACCACCTTATACCACCCATGTGCCAATACCTAGTCTATTTTTTTACAGGACAGAAAATGGGAATTTTGAAAAGAAAAAATGTTTCATGCGGGCCGAACCGCATTTCTACAATATGCGGCCCAAAGGAAAGCATCCATCTTAAAGAGGGATGCAAATAAGTGGTCCATCTAAAAACAATTGAAACTAACGGTGCAAATATTTTTTTATAAAATCATTATTTTTATTCCTTAAAATTTATTTATTTTTTATATATTACATGTCCATAAAAATTGAATCCGAAAATCCATCTCAAAATAGAATTTTAAGAATATAATCATTTCTGCATGGACTCATAGAAACCGGGTCCTTCTGAAAATGATTTATGAAAGGCGAATGGGGAGAGATAATCTTTCCCATTAGGTGAGGAAGGGCCCTTGAGATTTTCTAAAAATCTTATGAGGAATGATACTATGATACCCTTCCACACTCATGTGAGTAGGATCCCAAATGATCACCATTAAATTTTGATACATATCTCTATAAACGTTATCACATGGGTGTGGGACTTGGGTGAATGGGTTTATTGATAACTTTTTTAAAAATTTATGTCATAATTTAATGATGATCCTTTGACATCCTACTCACATAGATGTGGGAGGGTCTCATAGTATCATTAGTCAAATCTTATACCAAGAATGTGTAATTTAGTAGAGAGACTTATCAACATGCACGAATGAATGAGAGAGTTTACATAATAGCATTTAAAAGAGAGGCATTTTACCCTAAAAAACTGAAGTTTAAGATAGATCGACATGCTCTCTCTCTCTCTCTCTAAGCAACGAGGTGCATTGGTGTTATATTTCAGTGGTCAGCACTCTCTCTCTCTTGGTATGTGATTGTTTAAGAAATGATGAGTATTGGCGTTATATTTTAGACTAATTTACAAACGGACACAAAAAAATATATGGGTGAAAATTATACTGAAGGTCGATCAATTCGTGTTTTTTTATTTTTTTCAATTGCTTTTTAATTTTTTCGTTTGTAGGACAGTGCCCAGTCTAGAAGGCAGTATGAAGTTGTCATCCTCAAAAGGCCATATTTCTTAGCAAATAAATGCGCCAATGTGGTATGAGGATGCCAGCCTCGCACCACCTTGAAGAACACCAGAGAAAGCTGTCCAAGAATGAGCAGCTTGGGCCACCTTTGAATGCTTAATAAAGTCAGTCGTTGCGGTCCAAGAATGCCAACCTCGGACTGCTTTGAAGCCCCGTAAAAGTCGGTCTGATGATGCTAACATCGGACTGACAGATAGAGCACTGTTACACCCTACTATAAAAAAAACTCAAAAATAAAATAAAATACGGTTTGGAAAAAATAAAAAACCTCAAGTTGACCAACTTTCCACGTAATTTAACTCAAAATTGACTCATTTCATATTTTAGTATTGTTTTTTTGTGTCCGTACATAATTCACAGCCTAATAAAAATATGAGGATTATATTTTTAAGACATGTTTGGATGATAATTAATTTCATTTAACATAATTATCGTAATTAGGATTAAAATAAAGGAGGCACAACTCATCAAAACTTGAAAATGTTGAAAAAAAAAAAAACACATTCAACTAAGAGCTGATTTTTGGAAAGAGATGATACAATGTTTGCGGTCTCACTTTTGGTTCACATGAAAAAATTCTCTCATGCAGTCAAGTGTGTGAATATTTTTATACCAATCGGTCTTAGTGCATCTTCTTACACGAATTGATAACTAATTGATGTAAAAATATTCTAACATTTAACTGCATGAGAGAATTTTTTCATGCTAGAAAAAAGTTTCACGTGAACAAACGTGCCATAGTCATGAACATCCATTCCAATTGATGGGGGAAGTAATCTAAGACATAGCTACATGACAAATATTTAAGGGATTGTAGACAACAAGACCATTCACCTTTGATACAAGGAGGTCACAATTACTTACAACCATCCAATGTAAAATTTGATAGCTTGGGTGTGTCACAAAGTTCGAAAAAATTTATTTTGAAGTTTAAACTTGGTCAATAGAATAAATATAGCCATCTAATTTTACATCCAATGGTCAAGATCAATTGTGACCCCCTTGTACTTAAAAGATAAATAGTCTCATTGTATTTTTCCTTTACATAAAGGGTGCGGTTTGTATAGAGCTGAGGCTCTAAACAATCAAAGTAGAGCCCACCTTCAAATAGTGTTGAGAAATGTGATTTCAATACTGAAAATCTTTATGATAGCCTCAAAATATATTTTCAACTCTAATTAGAAAATTTAAATTTTCAAAAATAGTGTTGATCGAGCAGATCTATGAAAACTTGAAAATCTTAAAATTGACGGTAAAAAAATGCATTACAAGATACACCTTTTCTAAAACTTTAAATCTTTTTTTTCTTCTAATGTCCATACATTTGAATGTCAAGATGCTCAATTTGAGCATAGTTAGGTATTAAAACAACCTCTTAATTTTTGGGGTAGGCTCTGATTCAATTGTTTAGAGCCTAGGCTCTAAATAAACGTTTTCCTAACATAATAAATAGGGTGTGGTTTGTATAGAGCCTAGGCTCTAAACAATCAAATTAGAGCCTACCTTCAAATAGTATTGAGAAATATGGTTTCAATACTGAAAATCTTATTGATAGCCTTAAAATATATTTTCATCTTTATTTATAAAGTTTAAAGCTTAAAAAATAGTGTAGATTGAGAGATCTATGAAAATCTTGAAAATTGACGGTCTAAAAGTGCGTTACAAAATAGGCTATTTTCAAAACTTGAAATCCATTTTTTTCTCATGTCTATGCATCTTGATGCCGAGATATGAATTTGAGTATATTTGGGCATTAAAACAATCTCTTCTAGTGATTTTTGAGGTAGGCTCAAATTTGATTGTTTAGAGAAAAATATGAGAGTTTTTTTAAGGTGTTTGTATGCCTTTTGAAAAAATGTTGGACATATTTCTACATGCTATATGGCTCTATCTTTTTGTTACTCTATGTGGTAAGGACATCACTGAAGTGGATGTCAGGAGAAACTTGAATACCATTTCCATTTCAATATTTATAAATGTCAGGCTTTAGGCAAATGGATGGCTCTGCCAGCTAGGGTGTCCAAAATTAACTTTGACGGTAGTTCGAAAGGCAACCCATGACAAGCAGGATTTGGAGAGGTGCTACGAGACTGGCTGAGCAATGTGATTTTTTCGTATGTGGGGCCACTTGGGGCTAGGACTGTTAATTATGTTGAGCTGTACGCCCTCCTTTTTGGGTTACAAATTATTGTGGAGAGGAAGCTAGGGATTGAATTCATCATTGAGGGTGATTATCTTAATGTGATTTTGTGGTGCAATAAAGAACAACTGTTTTTATAAAACTTTAAGGCTTTATCTTTTGGATCTCTTATTTTCTCTTTCTATTTCTTTTATTCATGTTTATAAAGAGGCTAATGTAGTGACATATTCTCTTACCAAAAGAAGTTCCTCCCTTCTTTTTATTTATGTTTCGGACTCTCTAATTGCATTTCAGTTCAATAAAATTGTGAAATTTTTATTAAAAAAAAAAAAAAAACAAAACGCCTTCGCTCTATATAAACTTTTCCCTAATAAAGTGTGAATGTTGGTCTACAACATAGCATATACCACCTGTTTATGATGCGGAAAGATGTGGCAATAACGTGTACCATGTCACCTTTCTCGATCTTAGAGTATAAGATATCGAGTGGATGATATCATTGTAAATAAAGAAGGGAGACGGTCTCGATGTTAGAGTATTAGATATTCAGTGGATAATATCACTATAAATAAAGAGTGGAGACGGGCATTAGTGAGGAAGACAGAAGGCCAGGCTGAAGCTCTACATTTCAGGCATGGAAGGGTTGGAGGTGAGAGGTCTTTTACTGGTGTGGATTTTGGGGTTGAGTTTTGTAACCGCCACCTCTGCAACCTCAGTCATTGTCATTGGTGCCGGAATGTCAGGTCTGTCTCCCTCTCTCTCTCTCTGTAAATGGTTCTCTCCGTGTGCATGCAGGCATCTCTCTCTCTTTGAATGGATCTCTCTCTCTCTCAATGGATCTCTCTGCGTGCAATGTGCACGCAGGCATCTCTCTTTCTGCATGCATGCCTTGTGTAGTTTCAACTTGCAACACAAATGAAGCGTGGTTTCTATTTGAAGAAGAATGAAAACACGGTATTTGGGGTTGTTTCATCAAGACAAATATTTTAAAATTTTGATTAAGTTTAAAGTTTTCTGCAATGTGAAAAACATTCAAGGCTGTGGTTACAAATATAACCAAAAAAAAAAAACTTTGCAGGATTTCCCTCCAGTGAAAAGGACCAATACCTCTTTTAGCTGTCTCTGTGTATCTTTGAGAGAGATGGAGAGAAAGAGAGATTGTATTGGGACTTTATTGGGAAGAAATTTTAATTGGTAGAGAGAGAGATTGTATTGGGACTTTATTTAAAAGAAACTTTAATTGGTAAACAGAGAGAGAGCACATTTCGAAGAATTTTGAGAAATTTACACATGGATACGAAAAGTGTAACTAAAATATAAAAGGGATCTAATTTAGCAAAAGATTAGATGTCTGGGACTGCTTTTGAATTAATTTTTTTGGTTTTTTTTCCATACCTAGGTTGTGTCCTAAGGTTTAGAGCAATGGCCTCTTAATCCAAGGTTTGAGTCCAAATGTCCCCATCGTCAGACTAGCTATTTTTTTGCTATTATAGCTAAACATATGCGATGTGAGGATGGGATCTCAAACCATTATTTGGAGTAATCAGGGCTTTCTGAATGCGAAGTCCCCATCCTCAATTGCCTAATTTGAGTTTTAATAGCGGAACATAGGCAATCTGAGGATGAGGACCTCAGACGGCTCTTTATATTACCTTAGACGGCTCTTTGTATTACCTTAAACTTTAGGACACAACCCTACTATCAAAAAAAATAAAAATTTAAAATAAAAAATTAAAAATAGCCTCAGTATGACATTCTCATACCGTGAGGCATTACAGGCAAAAAAATTAATAACATGGGGTACCGAGGCTCCACTCAATTTTTAGCTAAATTGGACCCATTTTGTATTTTATATACTTTTTTTGTATTCATATGTAAATTTCTTAAGATTTTTAATTAATTATATATTGAAATTCTTTTGAACGAGAAAAATCATTTACTCCTATACGAGTGTACGATCTAATTACTCCCTGTAAAATACATGTTAGGGATACTCTTTATATCTCAAATTTTGGGGATTTAAATCTCTACAACTCACGTAATAATCTCAGGGGAAATAAATTTCTGTATGGCTCAAAAAAATCAACACAGTTAGGTGCTTTGACTGGTCTAGTAGATGCGCAGTATGCGTTCTATAAAGGCTGTCAAGGAGTGGGTGAAAAAAAGAAGAAAAAAGGCTGTCAAGGAGTGGGTGAAAAAAAGAAGAAAAAAGGCTGTCAAGGAATGGGTGAAAAAAAGAAGAAAAAAGGCTGTCAAGGAGTGGGGTGCTCGTTGTAATTTGGGAAAAAAATATTTTTATATAATAATAAAGGGGTGAAAATAGAATCCGTATGTAATTTTCTCAATTTTAATAGGTGGTATATTGATAGTAAGAGAGCATATTTGGAGAATGTTTTAAAGGGATTGTACACAATGATAGGTAGAGATCATAATTATTTATAACCGTGAAATCTGATAAGTTGTGCATGGTAAGTTAAAAAAAAATTCTATTGAAGTTGTACATAGTCATGGAATACTTTTATACTTTTTTATTTTTTAATTGGTTGTATATCGAAACTCTTTTTCTTATAATTTTGCTTGGATGAATGTTATTTACACGAGGTAGTTTCGTCTCTGTTACAAAATAATAAATAGTGGCCAACACCTTTGGACGAAGAGCCCTAGGAGGACAGTGCATTATTTATCAGAGGACAGAGGACAGAGGACAGAGGACAGTGCATTCTTTATCAGAGGACAGTGCATTATTTATCAGGACAAAAAAGACGAATACGACAAACTTAATAAATGTTGTTAGACGTTGGTTGACGTGACAAACCTCAGATTTTAATGGAAAAATATTTAAAGGTCTATTACATGAAAATAGATTATAAAAAAAAGTACGATGTTTACAAATATTCGGGTATATTTTAATAATAAAAAAATAAAAATAGATTATCTGATATTTATCTAAAAATCAGGAAACCATTGTAAGGAAGCAAAAATATCTATTATGCACTTGATAAGTCCTTTAATAAAAAGAAAGAAAAAGTTTATATAATGATGCAACCTTATAATGTAGAACCACGGATACATTTATAAAATCCATCAGAAATTGTAGTTTTAATGGTGGAAAAACCTTTTAATTGATCATCTCGATTTCGAGATGTATGAGGATGAAAAATAAAAAGATTTTAAGTTTAAAAAATGGTACATTTTTTACATATTATCTATACCGTCTATTTTCAAGATTTTCATATGTTTATAAGTTTATTTTATTTTAATTATTTTTTAAATTTAAAATTTTATAATTAAATATAAAAATAAATTTTAAAATAAATCTTAAAAACATTTTACATCATAATTATTTACCATGATAAAATTTGAATATGCATCATATCTAAGGATGCATCCGTATGCCAACTGCCTGAAAAGAAAACCTATCTCTAGCTAGAATCTCAAAATCTGAGGCTCGCCACCTCAAGCTCTCAAAAACCTAACAAACCTGGTAAGCCCTACTTTCTCTCTCTCATGCTCTCTCTCTCTCCCCCTTCCCCCAAACGTATGAAATTGGCTCGCCCCTAATTTCCCCTCGTTACGGTGTCTATGATCCCTTGTTTTTTCTGCAACTAAAAGTTGACCTCCGAATCCTTGGCAATGTTCTCCCAGAGCCAAAACCCTGACTGCTTTTCTCCAAATCTCCAAGCTCATGGCCGCCATTAAAATACTAACAAGAACAAGTATACAAACCCGCTTTAACAAGGAACTCTCAATTTCTCTCTCTCTAGCAAATCGACCAACCTTAGTCAATATCTCTTAAGAAACCATGACTCCAACAATGCCTTGGATATGGCGTGGTTCGACAAGGCCTGAACTAGGAATAAAATGGTTCGTTTCGATTAGGGTTCGGGCTCTGATTCTCTTCCATCCAAATTTTGATAAGGCATTAAAGAGTAGCCAAAGTGACAGGGTATAGCCACTGCCACAATTTTTTTAAATTTTCACGTACCAATATGTCACAGCCTCCTGTTATTCTTCGTAAGAACTATTTGTACTGAATTTCAAAGAACCTAGGTTTGGAAAATAAATATTTGAGACAATTTACCATACACCTATAATCCACGGGGTTTTGGATGCAACACATCAATGTTCGGTGGTCAAATAATACAACATGGGACATCCATTGCGTGGTCCAGATGACAGACACTAGTGATTTATTGTGGCCCGGGTGAATATCTAGATGAATTTTTTGTTTGAAGGATTTGGTTAGTTGCAAGGCAAGTATCGTAGCCATTGTCAAGCCATTTTTGGATGCTCGATTGAGTGTAGGTGACAACAGTGCATAGGCTCACGGGTGATTGCATTATGTTCAATGAAACTGGACGATTAAAGAAGGTTGGGAATGTGATGCACAGGTTATTATTCGCCATTGTTTCATTGAGAAGATTATGAAGACGGATGCTGTAAAATTGAGATAGAGATAATGAGTTATGGTCAGAGAGGAGATTCTGTTGGTTGGCTCATGCAGATTTTAGAGAGAGTAATTGGTTGGAAGAGAGAAAATTTGAGGATGAGTGGCTGTATATTTGAAAGTTTATGGTCTTGCGGATTTTAGAGAGAGAAATTAGTTGGAAGAGAATAAATTTGATGGTGAGTACCTGTGAATTTGAGAGTTTATGGACCTGCAGATTTTAGAGCGAGAAAAGATTTTAGAGCGAGAAATTGGTTGGAAGAGAGAAATTTTGATGATGAGTGTCTGTAAATTTTAGAGTTTATGGCCAGAGAGAAAAGGAATAAACTTTTAAAATGTCAAAAAAACCACCTTACTGTCGATAAACTTAAGACAATACTTTTTAGCCAAGATAGTGATAATGCATTTTCCCAGATTTCTTCAGTAGCCAAGTATTTTCCAAGTTGCATATGAATATTACCAAAACAATATCAATCTATTTGTAGGTAATATATTATGTCAGTAATATATTTCCTAGACTATATTTTCAATACCCAAACGACCCATTAGGAAAATTATAGAGATCCCCAATTTCAACTTTCCACACGTCTAAACCCCAATACGTTTTCTATTATACTCTAAACCCCCACATTATTACTCATTGTAGTTACCCCTAGTCAAATAGTCAAAGCTTTTTTAAACTAAAATGCCATTTTTTTCCACTTTTCCTTTTTGTTTTCTCTTTTGTCATTTTACATCTTTTGTCATTTTACACGGGTGGCCCTCTCTTACTTTCTCTCCCTACCTCTCTCCACCCATGCCCTCTCTTTTTCTCTCTCTACTCTCCTTTATTCTCTCTTATCTCTCTTTGCCCTCCCTCAGTTCTTTTTCTCTCTACCTCTTTTTCTCTCTACCACTCACGTGCCCATAATACGGTTCAACACGTTTTTGTATCGAAACGAAAAACAATTTGTTGTCTGGGCACAAAAACTTGTCGGACCGTATTGGATTCCAATAACTTTCATATACCCATAATGCGGTTTAGCACATTTTTTGTGCCAAATCGAAATTTATTTGCGGTTCGACATGTTTTTGTTCCCGACTGTAAAATTTTAGTTGGTCAGGCACAAAAACGTGTTTTCATTACAAGCATGTGAGTAGTAGAGAGAAAAAGAATGAGGGAAGGTAGAGAGAGAAAGAGAGATAGAGAGAGTGAGGGAGGGTAGACAGTGAAAGATAAAAAGAAAAGTAGTGAGAGAGGGTAGAGAGAAATATAGATAGAGAAAAATGGTGAGGGTAGATAGAAAAAGAGTAAGGAAGGGTAGAGAGAGATAAAGAGAGAAAACTGACGGAGGGAGATAGAGAGGACAGGTGAGAGAGAGTTTGTTTGTAACTAGAGAGAGAATATGTCTTGAAAAGGGAAAGAGAGAGAAAATTAATATTTTGATCATAAATTGTTTGATTATATGACTCGAGGTAAATATAAAAAAAAATAATATTAAGGTTTACATATAATAAAAAAAGTATTGAGTTGTAAGATATATTGAAAGTTAAAATTGGGGAGTATTTATAATTTTTCCAATACTCATACTATTAGGTTGAAGAGACCAACCTCAGATTCTAATGCAAAAAATTTACTCATATACAATTAATCTCAACTATTTATCAACCAAAACTTACAGTTATTTTACCCTCGTTAAACCAGTACTATATTTTATAATATTTGAGCTTCCTTCCTGTAACCGTATATTGTACTTGTATGGGGATCATATAAGGTACCCAGACCACGCATCCACCGTTGTAATTATCAATGAGCGACAGACATGAGCCGCTATTTTGCTAATGATCCATATCGGCTTAAAAGCAATGGCTCATACCTGCGATTCGTTTATAAGCATATACAGTGTATCTGTTTTAACTATTTTACATTATACCATTTAGGAGCGTTGGTTGGATATTTTTCCCTGATTAAGGTTAAAAAACAAGGCTCGGAGTTGGCAAGTCTCAGGTCCATTTCGTCAGTACAAACTGGACCCAGTTTGGCCTGTTCTTGCTTACTTTGGCGAGTTTTTAAGTAACTTGGCGGAGTCCATGTAGACTCACACGAATCCGAGTGAACTTGCTCGAGTTTTAGCACACTGCTGAGGACTGACAAGTCTTCTCTTGGGTACCTCAATTTTCAGGTATCACAGCTGCAAAGACATTATCTGAAGCAGGAATCAAAGATTTCTTGATATTAGAGGCCACTAATAGGATTGGTGGTCGCATGTGCAAGACCACATTTCAAGGGCTCAATGTGGAGATTGGAGCAAATTGGGTTGAAGGTGTAAATGGAAAACAAATGAACCCCATTTGGGACCTCGCCCAGAAACTAAAGCTTCGTAACTTCCAGTCCGACTATGATAACGTCACTGCCAATATCTATACGCATCAGTAAGGCCGGTTACTTGTCCTTGTGGTTTACTTTACTTCAGAAAATGCATATTTCAAGGGAAATGTTTATATAGAGCTGACGCTCTAAACAATCAAATAAGAGCCTATCTCAAAACTTTCACTAGAGGAGGTTGTTTGGATGCCTAAATATCTTAAAATTGATCGTTTTGACCTCAGGATGCATAAACATGAGAAAAAAATGGATTGCATGTTTTGAAAATAGTGTATTTTGTAAGGTATTTTTGGACCGTTTGATTTTCAATATTTTCGAGTTTTCATAGATGTGTCGATCTATGCTATTTTTTAACCTTTAAACTTTATAAATAAAAATGAAAATATATTTTAAGGTTATCATAAAAATTTCCAGTATTAAAACCACATTTCTCGGAACTATGTGAAGGTAGGCTCTAATTTGGTTGTTTAGAGCCTAGGCTCTATACAAACTGCACCCATTTCATAATATATATCAATGCTGAACGTGTATAGTATTTTTTTTTTTTTTTCCAATCATAGTGCGTGTATGTGTATGATATTAATCCTTCCAAAGGAATATGGTTTGATAGGGCTGCAGCCCTATAAAAGTAAGTGAAGCCTCACCTCATAACTCATCCATAATTACAATTCAAGTTTTGGAAAACCGTTACATGAGTCATCCCTACTTGAACATTATGGTTGTAAAGCCAAATTCGGATTTCAAGCTCTAAAAAGAGTGTATATTATAAAAAATTATCTAGATCGTCTATTTCACCCTCGAAATAAGTGTTCACAAATCTACAAAATCTGTATCATTTGTTAGATTCAAATTTTATTATTGGTCTTAGAATTTGATTATACAGCATCGTAGAGATTTCCTTTGCTAAAAGTACTTTTTGGACAAGGATTCAATGTGAGGCTTTATTTTGTTTTCATAAAACCTAGACCTTATAGAATCCTCGTTTTATTCCAAAACATCATCTATCAATCGACAAAGTAATAATATATACTATACACATGGTCTGCATTGTATAGGGTTGAGAATTTATCTAGTTTGGATCTAAAACTCGAATTTTGGATCCTATCTGGATGTGGGTATGGATCCAAGTATTGGATTCTACTTATCGAATCTGGATCCAAAATTTGGATCTGAATAATAATTAGATCAAATCAGGGTACAAGTGGATCCAATCAGGATCCAACCTAGTTATTAATATATTTTATATTATTTTATATATACATATATATTATATAATATGTTTTTGTTATGTATTATTTTATCGATGTAAAATAATATATAAAATAACTTTTTGGATCCGATTTGGTCCATATTAGGATCCAGATCCCATGTGTATTCTTTGGATCCGCATCCGGATGGTGGTGGACCTTTTCTGGTGGATCTGGTCTCGATCTGACCCATTCTCAAGCTTAGTTTTGTGTGTGCGGCGGTGGATAATTTACCGTCTTTTTATGTGGATGCAGCGGTGGTCTTTATCCACATGCGGTCGCTACGGTGGCTTTTGATGTAGCCGATGAGAGATCAAACTATACCACGGCACTTTCTACCTCTATGTCAAGAAACAAAGAAGAAGACATCTCCATATTAGCATCCCAAAGGCTATGTAACAAGTTGGTGCTCTCCCTATCCTCTTCCTTTTTATCAAGATACAAATCAGAGATAAGTTTTGGTATTTAAGAACTATCCATATTTTTGGACACTACAAAATTACGGTGTTCAAATTTTAAATTTTATTTATTTATGTTTCAATCATTGTTCAAAAATTGAACTTTTGAATCACCACAAATATAAAGGAAAAAGTTAATATAAGGATGCAACCATATAATGTAGAACTACGGATGCACCTCAAAAATCCATCGGAAAAGGTGGTTTTGATGTTGAAAAACCCTTTGATTGATCATCTCGACTTTAAGATGTATGACCATGAAAAATAAAAAGATTTTAAGTCTAAAAAATAGTGCATTTTACAACATATTATCTACATTGTCCATTTTCAAGGTTTTCATATGTTTATAGAAAAGACCCAAATTTCAAGAAACATTTCAAATTTTAACCATTTTTTAAATTTAAAATTTTATAAGTAGATATAAAAATAGATTTTGAGATAATCCTAAGAACATTTTACATCAAAATTATATACCATGATAAAATTTGAAGGTGCACCTTACCTCTACAACTACGGATGCATCCGTATGCCAACTGCAGCCAATATAAAAAGACCCAAACAGTTTTTTATTCCATGTTGGATTCCGAACCTCCAAAATGCCTCATGTCTTTTTGTATGTGTATTTTCGGGGGTTCGAAAATCATATTCCCAAAACACTTAAACACGTAACTTTTTGTGCTTGGGCAGTTCAAAAATAAAAAATTAAATATCTAGACATAAAATGTCAAAAATATGATCTGTTCTCTAACACTGAAAACTTATTTTGAGTATGTACACTTTTCTTTTTCTAGTGAACCAGCAAAAGACTTTAGGAAAAAGTTTGTATAAGGTGTCAATCTTATACTATAGAAGTAACATGTACCACAAAAATCTAACATAAGAGAGTAATCCGACACTACAAAACCCTCGAAGTGATCATCTTGACCTCAATGTATATAAATGTGAAAAAAAAAACATTTAATTTGAGGTTTTGAAAATATTATAGCCCTTAGCATATTACCTAGAATGCCAATTTTCAAGATTTTCATGTGTTTATAGATTTACTTGATTTGCACCACTTTAAAAGCTTTAAGTTTCAAGGCTAGGAACCAAAACAATTTTTTAGACCATCATAAAATTTTCTAGCACCAAAACTATATTTTTAGCATAATTTATAGGCGTGCCTTACTTGCATTGTTAAAGGTTCATGCCTTATACAAACCACAGTCGAGTCTAAAGCACCTTTTTTTATGTGAACTCTCTTATGCACATGTCTGAAACACACGGGTGACTATCTCTCTCTCTCTCTCTCTCTCTCTCTCTACTCTCTACGTTACGTTACGTTACGTTACGTTACGTTACG